GCAAAGGGGGGAGAGGCGTGGGACGTCTTCGCCTACAACAACGGGTCCAGCACGGCGCACAGGAAAGAGGGGTGGGGCAACTCGCCGGGCCTGAGTTGTTGACATTCGGTTGGGCAGGGTCTAGAGGGCACAAGGGAGGGGCGTTGCTCATAGTTCCCATGCCTCAGGTTCTCGAGAGGACGGAGCAGCATTGTTCCAACCGGACCATTCACCGATGGTCAGTCGTTGCTTGGGGGAGGGCGTACCTCATGTAAACGCACACCATGCAAGGGAGGGTGAACCAGAACGTGGTGGTTATCCTGGCATGTGCTGTGCCACACCATATATATACGCGACGGGTTGACTACTGTAGGCATCCCGGCAAACCAAGCGTTTCACATTCAACAGGCACACGACTTTACACCGCGGCGGGGGTACTCATAGTCGTGCATGCCGTAGTCGTTTGACTATTGACCCGCACGGAGGGGGGGGGGAGGGGGGGGGGGTACTCTTATGTTTTACATGCCTTTGCGGTTAGACCATTGACGAAGCCGAAATCACATTTGAACTTGTCGTATTCGTCGTCTACCGTCCTATGTCTCCGTCGACGTTCTCGAAGGCCTATGTCCCCGGTCCTGAATTTGACCTTAAGCTTTGTCCCTGCATCCATTGGCCCATGTAGGTAATCCATGGACCCTATTCCTTCTTTCAACATTCCGTACACTTCTAGACCCTCCTTATCCTCGGTTTCTTTCCTTAGATTATGTTCTTCTCTCTCGGCACAAGAAACAGATATCTTCTCGTTGAACCCCTGTAGACCCTCCGTTTCCAGCGTTTCATCTTCGTCGATTTCGAACCCCTTCCATACGTCCTCTACACCCTTGACCCATTCCGTGGGATGTCTACCCCTCTTTTTGTTTTCCCACTTTGCCTCCCATACTATTCTCGGCAACCTCTCCTCTCCCATTCCGCACATGCGATACTGCCATGCCAGCTTCCTGGCGTCTCTTCCCAACCGTAGGGATTGGATCCCCAATTCCACCCTGACGGCTGCATTACTTATGCGCTTGGAGCATCCTCGGATGATTTTCGCTGCTTCTGCGCCGCCTCGAGTCCTTTCACTGCCTTCTTACTTCCTTCCCATACTTGGGGCAGCGGGGGCGTTGAAGCCAATTTTTGGGAGGCGTGGGAATAGCCTTGCATACTTCGCTGGACAGTCGTGATCCTCAGCGGTGGCGGAAAATAAATGTGGGCAGGACGGTGGAAACGAAGGACCAAATGATGTTGATACAACGAAGTAGACTACCTGGAGAAGAGCATTCGGGACAACGATACTTTGATGAGACGTTTGGCACGAGCGATTCCTCGTGTGGAAGAATTTCGCGGTGCAGCGAGGAGCATGGCAGACGTTGGAGATACAGCATAGGGGTGTTGCGCGCGGTTGCCGTTGAGTTTTGCGCTGGGGGATAGGGAGGAGGGATACATGCGGCCTCCTTTATTTGTCACACGTGAAGCATGTATCGGCGTACAGTAGACGCGCATTCCGACATGATTCGCTTGGCTTGGCGGTGATGGGGGGCCTGAACGGCCGAGTTAGCTTAACGCTACATGTGGGTGACAACATATCGTCCTCACCCCTGATCAAGGCGGCCGTAGAAGCCATGGTTGTGCGACAATCGCCATCAGCGGACGAGTACCATTCCAAATTTTCCACTCTTCACAACAAACCGCAACTAACCGGAATATTTCACGATTACACCGGACATGAATGCATTTTGCTACTTTTCCAAGCTCAAAACATAAAACAAAAAACACCCGGACACTTCGCGTTTACACTGGCACAACACAAGCGTACTTTTACCACCCCACTGTGCACACCTCGATCAAAATCTACCCCGGATTCAAGCCATTAAGGCTTGGCCGTCCAGGTGGTGGGCGAGGAACACCCGCGACCACTACAATATACTGGTACGGATAAGCAGCGTCGCACATCAAATGGTACCTATGCTCACCTGTGTGAAATATTGCCAAGGTACTTCATTGGATTTCGCCAAGGAGTGGATGGTGGATGGATCCCTCGAAACCAACTTCCAAAAATATTCTGACAGATGTCCAAAAGAAATATCAAGATGCAAGAAGCGGAGACTAGGCCCATCTATATACGCTACACAGCCCCCAGACAGGTGATAAGTGTCAAACCGACCGCCCATCTGCAACAATCACATCAAGCACATGCCTAATAATCAGATCGTTTTGAAAATCACGTGCCGCAGCCGAGTACTGCTCTCTCCTCTCCCCGCAAAACCTCCACGCTTGTCTTTGAGTGACACTAGCGTGGTTGCATTGAGAGGCTAGCTACTGTAAATATCATCGGAGGGCAACAGTCTATCGTCATTCATGTGCTCTTGTAAAGTCTGGTATCACGTGCACGTACGGATCACAAAAAAACACCTACACCATACTGGAATAAACTAAATACAAGGCAGCTCGAGGGGGACCGAAACAAGACGACAAAGAGTGCAAATAGAAGCACACACTGTACCACTGACGACACATGAACGCAAAGCAAACAAAGATGAGCGTGCGCATGTGCTCTCCGACACTAAGTTGAGTAGTCTACCTGCGAGCGACTACACGCCCCCCTTCAAACAAAAACGCCACGCAAACAGGAGGGGGAACAACGCGCAACTTGGTCAGCACTACTAGCCGCAGCACGCCCTTTGCACAACAGCCTCTAATGGCTTTCTTTTCAGCCCGTCTGTGGCGAAACTTGGCGTAATCTTTGAACCCGTAGCTACAAGTCAGACCGCGACGAGCCCGTGACGCCGATCGGCCTGACGGCAAGCACACACCGCAACCAGGATGTTCCGTTCGGCCTACATCAATCTCGCTCGTATCACCGCCATACGATTAACTATTCCAAATCACTTCCGAAAGAGATAAATCGCATTGCGAAGGGAAGCGGCCGTAGTGTCTACGGGGCGAACGCCCGCAGCCTTCGGGCGGAGTTCTCGCGTTCGAGGAAGAGGGGACCCGGCATTCACCTAGCGCTACAAGCTGCGCTTTCGTAACCGGCCATACTCTTCAGCAAGCCCTGTGTGCCCCACCGCGCGTTGCCGTCTACCTGCTCCTGACCGGCGGAACATTCAACTATCATTCGAAGAAAAGGACACACGCCACACGCCACTTCACCCGCCTGTGCTTGCGTTACGCGGTCATACTTTCGTCATTGCCAACAAGCCGACCTGGCCCGACCGCTTTGTACTGCTGCCTGCCGGCCGGACTTGCACCTTTAGGGCGGAGCTCCCGCTCGAAGAACAGGAGACTCGGCCCTTCCAAGAGCTTGCCTTGCTCAGCTCGCCAATATTTGGCGAGGCCCCGCCATTCAATCCAGGCCTACTGCAGCTAGAACAACCTCGGGGATTTGATCCAGGGGCGGCGGCGGCGGCCGAACAACGCCTTTGGGCATCGGGGCCCTCATCGTGCCCGGTCGCAGCTGGTACCCCGAGCACGCCGTACAGGACGAATGTGTCTAGCGCGATGTGAATGTGCCGAAACGTCCACGTCAAGACGATGAGCAATGACCTTCGTCGAAGGAATGGGGGCACAAGAGATACAAGGTACAGTCAGCGAGGTGGAAGGGGACGTTGCCTTGTGGAACGCCGTTTCCATTGAAATGCCGTACAGGCAGTGGGCGGGCGTACTCATGTTTGTGCATGTCTTAGCTGTTTGACCATTAACCACGCGTCCCTCGAGAGGACGGGGGGGGCGCACGCGAAGCGCGTCGACATGTTACGTAGGGTGCGTTAGCGTGGTGTGGGATCGCACCGAGAGAAGACCGACCAAGCTCTAGTATTAGCCTTAGCCTCGACGGCATCCGATACCCATGGGGGAGGGGGGTGGGGTATGCTACATGGCCTTGTAGTGCAGTGCTCTCACATGGAAAAAATCGTATAATGCCCAATGGGCTTGTATTGCGTGGCACACGGCGCGCTAGGTCGAGCAGGCACAACGGACGATCGATAGCACGAGATCCTGACTGACGCCACGACACTTTTGAGGTGAACTCTTACACTTTGGGTAGAGCGCGTGTAGCTCTGTTTTGGTGATCTCACGGCGAACCAGGACGCGGCCAATAGGTCTTACGTAGAGTGTGTCTCCCTACCAAAAAGTGAAAGATGAGATGATGTGACCCCCCTACCGTACTTGTAGCATCACCCCTCCTGTCACATGAGAGCGATGCGTACACCTATGCATCCGGCTTGGAAGTAGCAGCTGCCACGCAAACAGCGAGCACGCAGTGAGGAGACGCGCCCCCGTGGGCGAGTACCCCGCGCGGCACCATCTTCAGAAACGGAGAAGAATACCACACGTATGCATACGAAGAGATACGAGAGAGGAATATGGAGCATGTCCTCTCCCACTACACTGTAGACAAAAGGAACTACAATCCCGAAGCTGTGGACGTGCCTGAAGCCCTGACAAAACGGATATTGTCTGAAACCTTCGGTACTACGAGAGGCCCTGGGCATGATTGCCTTATTGCCCGGTGCGGTACGGTACGGTACGGTACGGTACGGCGCATTTACAGTGAGCAACACAGCATGAGGTCTGGGCTGGTCTCTGGATCGTTTGCCGGAACCTTTTGTGTGCCGCGGTTCACGAAAAAGAACCGGCCCGGAAATAAGAAACGTCAAAGTCGGGTCCGGGCTCCGTTTCTCATTTCATCGCCAATTTCGAGCAAGAGTTGTTCTTCTAGAGGTTAGGTTAGTATAGGGTCCGCCAAAGCTGTGTTTCTTATCCCTATTTACGTGACAACTTGAGACTCTGATACTTAACGAAATGCGGGCCCGTACTATTACGGGCATACACTCACTTCTCACGCCCACCGACGACGTAGATCGTGCCGCAGACGCCAAGAGCCAGATTGACCGTTGTGCCGATGAGAGTCAGGCCGAAGTAGTAGCGGATGCGGGCGTGCACCTTCCAGCACTCCTTGACCTCGTTGATCCGGAACAGCAGTAGCCAGGCCACAATGACGAACATGCAGATCCCGACGAGGAACTCGAGGAAGAAGCGGGAGACGGCCAGCCAGTCGCCGGACCGCTGCATCGATCATCCGTCGCCAGGCACGAGGATTGAAACGACAAGGCACGACGGACACCGATAATCACAGACAGAAAGACATCCACACACAAATGTGAGACGGGGCGAAGTACAAAGGGCCGGCCCTGCACGGCTCTAGTAACAGCAAGGGGTGGGTAGAAACCACATTGGCGCAACGGACAAAAACCTGGACCTTGGATTTCCAGCGCTTCAGATACCAAGTGGTACACGCAGCCTTGCTGGCGATGGCGAAACAGGCAGTGACCACTATGCATAGTCGGCACATGGAGTGTTCTCGAACCTGGTCTTCGTTTCTGACGGCGAACCCAGTACCGCTGACGACGGTTGTCTGCCAGAAGGGTGCGGCGGCGACAGCGACTGCGATGGACACGGCGAGGGACAGGAAGACCAGCGAGGGCGAGCTGAAGCTCTTGACCCGAGCCAGGGTTCGATGCGACTGCAATAGAGAGACGCGAAAGCGTGCCACAGACAAGAGGGGGGGGAAGGAGGGCGAAATCATGTAAACGCATGCCGTGGTCGTTCAACCGTTGACCTCGCATCCCTACAAATGCCAGGACGGAGCGACATGGTGTGTTTTCGCCGGCCCAGGCTACGTTTCACATGGATGAACCGAGGTTGTGTGGGACCACGTGGCTCGGAGACCGCTCTTTTGCAACTCGTTCGTGACTCTGTCTGACTTTTTGTTCCTTCCTACCACTCCTGTTCGGCCATGTGGACCATTGAGGCACCAAACAATCGACAGACTGATACATTGATGTTATCGGTCGGTATCATGTTTCGTTTGTGGTGCTTGGTAGTAAACAAACTGCCTTACAACCCAGAGTTTTCGCTTGGGGTGGCGGGGGCGAGAGAAGGTACCACGACGGGGGGTAAACTAGGACAAAGACGATTTCAGATGGCGTAGCCCTTCGACAACACGACTACTAATGTGGTGAATGTCGACAAGTCATTTGTTCTTGTTGTATGCCGAACGAAACGCCGAACAACTCAGGCATTTGCTCGGGAATTAGTGATACTCTCGAGAGCTGGTCTAGAAGATTCGACGTCTTAGGGTTAGGGGGGTAAAGACGAAACAACTTTCTGAACGGTCTCACCCCCCTCGGCAAAGCTACGGGCGGGCATGAGTTGGAAAGCTCCACGCACTGGGGCCACAAAACAATTTCCGTCCCATCATTAAGTAGTCGCCTCTGTTCAGGGGGTCAAGTATGGGAGAGGGGGGAGACGGCCTAGAGGGGAACAACAAATTGATGTTTAGCAACTGCAAGTATTGAGCATACTAATAGCACGCAAATGGCAAGCGGTTGCACAGCAGGCTATCTATCCTGTACTGACCATGATGACGAGGGCGAGGTTGGCGCAGATGGCGAGGTTGGTGATCGCCAACATGTTCGACGCAACCAGCTCGAGAAATTTCAAAGCCTTGACGAACCCCGTGACGTTGCTTCCGGCCCAACAAACCAATACCATGGTTGCTTCCGTCTGGATAAACAGCTGGTGTAGGAGACCGCTGGTTTGTAGCAAAACGGAAGAGAGAAATGACACCACATGGGGTTTCCAAATTGGCCAAGCACGAGGTGGAAGGAAGCGGAGGGGGGGGGGGGGGGGGGGGGACCCTTATTTATTGCATGCCCTAACCGTTAAGCCCTTTACCCCCCCCCCCCCAAAAAACGGAGCATTGTTTTCCCAGGGCCCATCCCCCCTGGGCAAACGTCCCTTCCTATTTTTCCAAAAGGGGCTCGGGGGGGGGGGGGGGGGGGGGACCCAAAA